TATTTTCCTCTTTTTATTACAGCCATCCCAGTGGGTGTGAAGTGGTGTCTCATTGTGGTTTTGATTTACATTTCCCAGTGACTGACGATGCTGAACATCTTTTCATGAGCTTGTTGAACATCTGTATTAGTTCTTTGAAGAAATATTTATTTCAGTCCTTTGCACTTGTTCAATTGGATTGTTTGTCTCTCTGATGAGTTTTAGTTCTTTATGTATTCTAGATTTTTAAAAAAAAAATATGCTTTTATTGATTTCAGAAAGAAGAAGGGGGAGGGAAAGAAACATCAGTGATGAGAGAGAATCGTCACTCAGCCACATCCTGCACACACCCACACAGAGGAGCGAGCTTGAAACCTGGGCATGTGCCCCGACCTGGAATTGAACCCCGAACTCTTGGTTTATGGATTGATGCTCAACCACTGAGCCACACCAGCTGGGCTATATATTCTGTATTTTAATCCCTGTTGAATATATGACTCAAAAATAATTTGTCCCATTCTGTGTTGTCTTTTTACTTTCTTGATACAATCCTTTAATTCATAAAACTTTTAGTTTTTATGAAGTTCAATTTATGTATATTTTCTTCTGTTGCATGTGCTTTTGGTGTCACATCTAAGAAACCACTGCCAAATCCAAGGATATGAAGATTTCAACCCTACAATTTTTTTCATAAGAATTTTATAGCTTTAGCACTTAACAGTTATTAATAGGTCTCTAACCATTTTTAGTTAAATTGTGTATGTGGTATAAAGTAAGGGTCCAACTTCATTCTTTTGCATGTGGATATCTAATTTCCCACAATCATTTGTTGAAAATACTGTCCTTTCCTTATTGAATGTTCTTGGAAACTTTGTTGAGAATCACTTAACTATATATGTGAGTGTTTACTTCTGGGCCAGTCTCTTCCATTGATTTATATCTCTGTCCTTGTGCCAGAACCACACTTTTAATTGCTATAGTTTGAAAGTTTGAATATAGGTTTTGAATTCAGGTTGTGTGAGTCCTCCAACCTTGTTCTTTTTGTCAAGATTGTTTCTGCTATTAGGGGCCTCCTGCAATCCATGTGAATTTGAGAATCAGCTTTTCAATTTTCCTGAAAAAGACTATTGAAATTTTTATGAGAATTGTAGATACTATTGACATCTTGAAAATGTTGTTTTCCTGTCCATAAACACCATGTCTTTCCAATTACTTATATCTTTTTAAACTTCAACAGTGTTTTGTAGTTTTCAGCATAAAAATCTTTCTCCTCCTTGATTAGATTTATTCCTAAGCTATTAATACTTTTAGATGCTATTATAAGTGGATTTATTTTCTTAATTTTTTTTAATTGTTCATTGCTGGTATATAGAAGCACAACTGATTTGTGTGTGTTGATCTTGTACACTGCAACTTTGCTAAATTCATCCATTAGTTCTAGTAACTTTTTGGTGGGTTCTTTGGAATTTTCTGTGTATAGGATAATGTCACTGTGAATGGAGATAGTTTTACCCCTTTCTTTCTAACTTGAATGCCTTTTATTTCTTTCTGTTCCTCTAACAGCTCTGGCTAGGGCGTCCAGTACAATGGTGAATAGCAGTGGTGAAAGCAGGCACCCTTGTCTTGTTCCTGATCCTAAGGAGAAAGTTTCAGTTTTTCATCATTGTTTATGATGTTAACTGTCTTTTTCATAAATACTATTTATCACATTAAAGAATTTCTCTCTAATCCTAGTTTTTTTGAGAGCTTTTATTATGAAAGGGTGTTGGATTTTTGAAATGCCTTTCCTGCATCCATTCAGATGATCTCCCCCCACCCACACACACACATCATTCTTTTACTGAGAAGTATAAGATTGATTAATTTTCCTATATTGAATTACCTTTGTATTTCTGGGATAAATCTCATTTGTTCATGGTGAATAATCTTAATATGCTGTTGGACTCTATTTGTTAATTTTTTGTTGCATCTATATTCATCAGGGATATAGTTCTGTAGTTTTCTTGTGTCTTTGTCTGGGTTTGGTATCAGAGTAATGCTGGCCTCATAGAATGAATTATTCCGCCTCTTTAGTTTTGGGCATGTTCCCCAGCTCAGTCCTGGTCCTTTTTTCCTTCTGTTCACACATTCAGTTTCCTCGTCTCTTTACACACCTATGTGTAGATGCTTCCAGATCTGTATTTCTAACCTGACTTCTCCTCTCAGCACCAAGCTCATTCAGGGACTAGTTCACTCTACAGGTCTAACAGGCATCTCAATGTTAATATGTCTTTTCCCCAAGTCTCTCCTACATGAGTAAGTGACACTGACTTCCAGCTGCCAATCAGTCCCTGAATCCTTGAATTGCTGTCTTGGTACTAATTCTCACCTGCAGACAGGAGAATCCAGTGGAGTTCATTTATGCAGGAAGGGATGTGGTAGAAGATATTAGGTAGATTATAGTGTCCATGGGAGGGTCAGGTAACAAGGAACAGCCAGAAATATCAACAACCTGGAGAAACACCTGACCATGCTGTGGGATGTGTTAGGAAAATTCTCACTGCCCTGCTCCCTTCTGCTCAGCGCAGTTGCTGCTGGGACAGGACCTGAACTGCCTCAGACAAACCAAACACATCTATCACCATCTGCTGTGACAGCCACTACCTGTGGCTCCTTCCACATCTTATGTGGTGCATGTATTAGCAAAAACAGGCATATCTGTGACCTCAAACGCAAGTGACCCAGGGCATGTAGCTTTGCAGTCCCCAACTTCTGCAGGCAGGAGAGCACTCTAGAGGTAGTGGGCATGGGTTATGATCAGCTGATTCAAAATGCCTCCCAGTGTCCTCCTTGGCTTCTCTGTCCCATCCTCTCCACAGCCGACTGTCAGCCTGTCCTCTCAGTGCTCTTCTAAGCAGTCCTGCTTTGACCATTTCTCACAACCTCTGTCATCGCCACTTTGATCAAGCCCTAACACTCTTACCAAGATTGTAGCAGTTGCTTCCTGACTGGACTCCCTGCCTCAACCATCTGTGGTCTCCACACTGCAGACAGGGGTGAGATGTTTGGAATGTAAATCAGATAGTGTCACTTCCTTTCCAAACTCTCCACAGTGGTTTCCCACGACACTCAGAATAAAACCGAACCCATGACCACGACCTACTTTATCCCCGCCGCCTTTCCAGCCTTGTTTGCTTCATGTAGCCCTCATTCACCGCGCTCCTCTGTACACCAGCCTGCCCCACGCACACCAGACCCGTTCCCAGCCCCGGGCTTTGCACAAGCAGCTCCCTCGCTTTCTTCCAGCCCTTGCACAGCCTTCTCTGCCTTGACCGTCTGCTTTATCCAGATTTATGTTCTCTGTTCATTGGTTTATTGTTTGTCTCCCTCCACTGGACCTGACTGGGGCTGTGCAGCGACTGGCCAAAAGTGGGTGACCAGTCAGTACCTTTTGAATAAATGAAACCATCTCAGTTGCCCAAGTTTGGGGAAAAACTTCTTGGAAAACATTCCTGACTTTATGGATATAGCAAGGAAGGAAACATCTCTAGATATCATGACTGGAGACAGCACCTGGAGGACTCCTGGGCCTGCCCTGTACAGGTCCAGCTTTCCTCTGCACAACAGGCTGGATGGAGGAGAGGCGAGATGGCGGGATGGGGGGAGGGGGCATTTGCTTCTACTTTGTTACCAGTCTCCAGTAAGCATGAGAGGCCAGCCCTGCCAGGTGGCTCAGTGATTGAGTGTTGACCTATGAACCAGGAGATCACGATTGGATTCCTGGTCAGGGCACATGCCTAGGTGTGGGCTCAATCCCCAGTAGGGAGCATGTAGGAGGCATCCCATTTCATATATATATATATATATATATATATATATATATATATATATATATATGAAATCTTCTCCCTTCCTCTCTGAAATCAATAAAAATATATTTTAAAAAGAAAAAAAAAGTGAGAGTTCAGGACTGCACCTTGACCAGACGTCAGGGCCACTGTTGACCTTTTCTGAAGTCAGCTTCTGGATCCAGGAGGAGCTGCTGAGGGACAAAGCCACCTGCTCTTACTCTGGGACAAGGCCCAGAGGGCTCAGTAGAGAAGCCCTAAGCAATGTGCTCCCTGGGCCGGGAAGGGAAGGCCGGTCCGTCTACACTGGCAGCAATCCAAGTCCACTTTCTCTATGCCGGTGGAAATCGGTTGTCCAACTGTGTTCCCTAGCCCCATGGTTGGCAAATTGCAGCTCGTGAGCCACATGTGGCTCTTTGGCCCCTTGAGGGTGGCTCTTCCACAAAAATATCACGGCCTGAGCAAGTCTATGTTGAAGAAGTGGCATTAGAAGAAGTTTACGTTTAAAAAATTTGGCTCTCAAAAGAAATTTCAATCGTTGTCCTGTTGATATTTGGCTCTGTTGACTAATGAGTTTGCAGACCATTGCCCCAGCCCGTCTGTCTACACCACATCTGTCTACACTGTGGGAAACCAGGGCTCAATAGTCTTCGCTGATAGAAGTCAAGAGTCTGTTGGGTTTACCCCCCCTGCAGAAACCGGGTGCAGAGCCACAGCCACTAGTCTGATCCTAAGATGGCAAGTCCCCGGAGTCTTTGGGAGGACAAAGTAGAAGCAAATGCCCCCACCCCCCAGCTCCTAGAACAGGAGCCCGCGGCCCGCCCAGGTGAGAGCGCCAGGTCCGGGCACTGGCACTCAGGGTCCGCCCCGCACCCCGCCCTCGCCCCTGGGTGGATGGGTGGGAGGTCAGGGCCCGCCCGGCCCCCTCCCGGGAGCCCCGTGGTTGTGGCCCCGTCCCCGCGGGGGAGCCGGGAGCGGAGGTGTCAGCCCCGCCCCCACCGGGGAGACCCCCCGGAGGTGAGGCTCCGCCCTTGGGGTCCGCCCACCGCTTCCGCCGCTGCGGCCGCCAGGGTGGGGGCGCGGCCCGGAGGGTCCGCCCGGCGGACGGCGGCCCCACTGCAGCCTGGGCTCCCGGCTCCGGCGGCGGCGGCCTCCGTGGGGACCGGCCCCGCGGCGGACAAAGGCGGCCCCGCCATGGCTCTGAGCGCGGACGGCCCCGGCGGCAAGGGCTCGGGCGCCCAGGTAGGGACCGGCCGCGGGGCGGAGAGAGGGAACCTTGGACTTTCCGGTCTTTGGAACACAGTGTAGCAAACTTTTCCCTGAACCTCATGCATGCTATTTAGGAGGAAAAGACGCTTTCCCAAGACGGCTGCGCGGTCCTGGGTCCGGGGGAGTGCAGAGGGAGGGGGTGTGGGACAGAAAGACGCCGGTGGGACTGTCGCCCGAAATGGAAATGCCCCCAAGTCACCCATTAGCCCAGGCGGGTGGGACCAGCCCATGCATGAACCGGGGTGCACAGGGGTGCAGAGCTTGTACCGAAAGAAGTGCCAGGACTGGCGTCCAGGTTGGAGGGTCGGCTGATTTAAATAATGATCGTCGTTGAGGGAAACAGAATAGTCATTTCCGATTTGGAAAAGTGCAATGGAGCAGTGTGTGTGGCCCAGCGGCGTGCAATGCAACCAGCGTGTCGGGTTTGTGCTTCCCTTTTCCCTGGGAAACGAGATTCGAGTGTTTTGGGAAAGTAATTACATTCGACTGCTGCTACCCAACAGCATTTTTACTGAAAAAGTTTAGCTGGTGCTTTCGGGTGTCTAATTAACAATTAGAACATGTAATTCAAAATTAAATTAAACGCAGTTGAAACTGTGCATAATGAATGCCTTCCGAAAGGGCTGTGCTGAGCAGGCAGCAGGCGCCGGGAGGAGGGAGGGTGAGCGTCTCAGCTTCGTGCGGACAGAGTTCCCAGTGGACCGAAGCGAGGCAGGGTCTCTGGGTCAGGAGGAACTTTCCAGGCACTTTGTGGGAAATGTTTGCTCCCTGAAACGTATTGGGAGGTGGAGATGTTCAACTGCTACACGTTTCCATTCACCGGGATGGGATTCCGTCTGCAGAGCTGGGCATCTGTAACCGGGACAGCAAGCCCACTTTCTTTTTTTTAATATATATTTTATTGATTTTTACAGAGAGGAAGGGAGAGAGATAGAGAACTAGAAACATCGATGAGAGAGAAACCGACCAGCTGCCTCCTGCACACCCCTCACTGGGGATGTGCCCGCAACCAAGGTACATGCCCTGACTGGAACTGAACCCGGTACCCTTCAGTCCGCAGGCCGACGCTCTGAGCCAAACGGTTTTGGCACAAGCCCATTTTTGCATCTGAGGTGGTTTTGGTCTTACTGTGCTGAGTCTAGTCGTCTGCAAATGTGCAAGGAGGCCTGGCATGGGAGCAGAGTGGACTGGTCAGATGGGCCCAGGGAACAGAGTCCTGGCCTTCCCCAGGGACGGTGGGGCCTGGATGCTGGATACCCGGTGGCTAGCAGGCCAGCCCTCATGTTTGGTTCCATTGAAGGGGTCTGGTGTGGGTCTAGTCCAAATGGCCTTGGTGAAATGAAGACCTTTGTATCTGGCGTCTGTTAGTTCACGGTGGTGGTCTCATGTGAATACATGTAAAAGATAAGGAAAGAAGCTGGCCTTGAATGTGAGATCGAAGAAGTGTGTTCACTGGTTGAATCATCCAACCCAACCTAGGAGACCCCTTGTCCCCGGATCTCAGTGTTTCTTTTTAGAGAATCATTCCAGCTCAGTTCACATGCCACTGCCTCCCTCCTTCCCCACAAAACTGAGGTGTCCTCTCTTTGTGCTTGAACAAAAATCACGTCACCAAGAGCAGGTGTGGGGAACGTCCAGCCCGAGGCCCAGGTACAGCCCGAGAAATCATTTGGTCTGGCCCTGCCAAGGCATTCAGGGTGGGTTAATAAAATGTTTGATCAAATACAGCCAGCTAATTTTTAACACATTGCGGACCAGTAGTTTTATTGCCAGCTTTACCCAGATACGTTACTATTGAACGAGTACAAAAAAATGTTTTACATAAAATGTTAAAGGCACACTTTAAAATTAAATACCCATTGCATTTTGAAGTTATTTATTACATGTTCTCACAAGCGAATACTTTTTAAAGAATTCTCGTGGTTGGCCACAGCCCTTAGAACAGAAAAATATGAGAATTCTCGTGATCCGTCCGAAATGTGTTAAGTTGGTAATTTTGTATGGCTTGTGAATGAGGTTATAAATATGCAAATGGCCCTTGGCAGAGAAAAGGTTCCCCACCCCTGACGTAGCACCTGCTAGGCCTTAATAGTCCTCCACCCAGGTGGGATACCCATTCTTCAGATGGTGGAAAGTGAGGTTTTTTGTTGCCTTGTGTCTCCCAGCCAAGAAGCAGCCATGAAACAGTGGGGTGACTGTTCAGTATTGAGCCCAGGGTTTCTGTGTCCAGTCCAGAATCTCTGGGGGTGGGGATGGAGGCTTCTTCACTGCATCCCTGGGCCGGGGCTCACTGGTCCAGCTGAGGAGAATGAACCCAGCACACTTCTAGGGGTGGAGAGTCAAGAGAGGAGGCTGGGGTGAGGGACGTGGGGGTTCAGGGGATGGGCTGAGAGGTACAAAGTCTTGTCCTACACGTGTTGATCCTGGGGTGCATGGGGAATCCTGAGTTCTATGAATCGAAGGCATCCTACCTTCGCTATGTGCCCTTCAAAGGGCCAGGAGAACAGGTGCCCCGTAGAGTGGGGAAGAGGCACCAGACCCCGACCTGTTGCCCAGAGAACAGGCCTGGGGTCTTAGAGATTGGATATGCACCCGCATCCACTCTGGGTTAGCTGTTGGTCTTCGGCCCAGTAGTTCAGCCTCTCTGAGCTTCAGTCTATGCCTTGTGTATGGGAATGACATGTAGCCCCAGTACCTCTTGGAGCACCATAAGGTCTGATTTAAAAATGGATCTGCAGATGCTTCTAGAAAGGAAACTCAGTTCATCATTTAGCTAAATGTCCTCAGGTTGAAAGTTGCCTCTGTCCTGATGTCTGGGACACTTTTCCAGGCCTCTCTGTTCACATCTGGGCCCAAATTCTCAAAAAACAGAGCTTTCAGATGCTTTTAGACAAGTGTCTGACCTAACAGAATTTTCCCCAACTCAGAAAATCAGATTGTGCCCAAGATACTTTGTGGTGAATTTTTTTTACATCACTTTAAAACTACTTATGTTTCTGAGACCGAGGAATGGGCTTAAATCCAATGCAACAACAGTTAGAAATTAATTAATTTCCAGTTCTGCACTAGAATTGGCCTTCAGCTAGGTGATAAGTAGATAGATGCACCTCACCTGCGCACAGCCCCCTGACCCAGGAAGCCCCAGCCCTCACACCTCCCCTGCCCAGCCCCTTTCCTGCTTGGTTTCTCCACATGTGGGTTTCCTCCATATGAGGGTCTAAAATCACCGGTGCCTGGCTTTCCTTAATTGCTTGTCTCCCCTGGCTTTGTTTCATTCTCCTTGTTTCTCTGATGCTTGGAATGGTGCATGGCGTGCAGAAGGTGTCACATGATAGTGACCCTCCCCTCTCTCCTAAAACCCACTTTCACTCTTCTGTCTCCCCCCACCCCCAAATTTTTCTGGGCCACACAGATGCAGAGCCTGCCCTGTGGGACCTGCGGGAGCAGCCAGGGAAACCTTGTTTGTCTCCGGGATATAGTCAAAGCAGACCCAAGACAATCACAGAGAAAGGCTCAATACACCCTGATGTGATGTAATGAGTGTGCTTTGTGTGTGTGTTTTGGGGGTGGGGATGGTGGTGAGCTGAGCAGAAAAGAAATGCCTGAATTAATTTCAAATGAATGGGAAGGGCAGCTAGGAGGCTGACCCCTCCCTTCATTGCCAAGTGGAGGAGATGTGGTTTGGCTCAGTAGAAACTCTTTGACCTGTAATGAGCTGCGGCCATCAGGTGACTTAGCCGGGAGAGTGAAGGGGTTGGAATGAGTTTCTGAGAGCTCTTGACTCTGTCCCTGCTAGAGTGAGACAAAGGGCAGCTTGGCACAGAGGCAGCGGCTCAGAGGTTGGGATGTGGGCCATGCAGCTGGAGGGGCCTGGGTTCAATCCTAGTTTCCCCATGAGTGGGTGAGCAGGCCAGCCCCTCAACTCATTATCTTTAGAATGGGGATAGTAACAGCATTACAGTAGGCTAAGAACAGCATCTGCGGTACTTGAAAAAAAATGTCAGCTGTTATTCTGTGATTCTGTAGAGAGAGAGATTTTACTACAAATAAGAGGTAAAAAGCATTACATTTTAATTTGTTGTCAAGTCACTTAAGGAGAAATGTTCAATGAAGTTATCTTCAAGACATTCAAAGATATCAACTGAGAAGAGGGATTAGAACTGCAACTATGTACTGTTTCAAACAATCATCAATTTTTTTAAAAAAAAGAAATATTTTGTGAAAGTGCCCAAATCAATAGGCCATGAATTCTACGTGGTTCCAAGGTTTCAGAGCTTTTCTTCTGGGTTATTCAGAGACTAATCCGGTGTGACTCAGTGGTTGAGCGCTGACTTTTGAACCAAGACAGAGAGCGGTTGGATTCTCGGTCAGGGCACATGCCCGAGTTGTGGGCTTGATTCCCAATACGGGGCATGCAAGAGGCAGCAGATTGATGATTCTCTCTCATTGATTTCTCTCTCTCTCTCTCTCTCTCTCTCTCTCTCTCTCTCTCTCTCTCTCCTTTTCTCTCTGAAATCAATCACAATGTATTTTGAAAAAATAAAGAAAGAAAACCTAATTGGAGCACTCATTTAGTTAGTGTGGAGCACCACAATGGGCAAAGGTGTGAGCATTTAGTTCTCAAGCTGACATTTGTGTGTCTTTTGACTGTAGCACAGAGACTCATGGTGGCCAGTGACATGTGCTGACTAGCCTCTGACACTAATACAGCCTGTTCCCAGAGCACAGTGTTACACAGGAAAAGCATGTGTGAGGGTTGGGCATAGAGAGCAACGGCAACAAATAAGGAAAAATATCTTAGCACAATTTCTGGAAGGTACTATAAATAATTTTTTAAAAAATAATTTATGAGGTGAGGTTCACATAATGTAAAATTAACCATTTTAGAGCAAACAGGTTAGTGGCATTTGGTAACATTTACAATGCTGTGCAACCACCTCTATCTATTTCCAAAACATTTATGCCACCTCAAA